CTGAGGGTCAGTACTGAGGGAGTGCCGCACTGTCAGAGGGTCAGTACTGAGGCAGTGCCGCACTGTCGGAGGGTCAGTACTGAGGGAGTGCTGCACTGTCGGAGGGTCAGTGCTGAGGGAGTGTCGCACTGTCAGAGGGTCAGTACTGAGGGAGTGCTGCACTGTCGGACGGTCAGTGCTGAGGGAGTGTCGCACTGTCGGAGGGTCAGTACTGAGGGAGCGCCGCATTGTCGGAGGGTCAGTACTGATGGTTTTATCTTCTGATACCATAAGGCACCGTGGACATGCACTCCAGGGTCTGACTGATCCTTGGTGCTGTGTAGGGTTCTGTTGTTCATTGTGTATTCCCATGCCTTCTTTGTCCTGTCCGAGTGCATTATTTCACATGTAGCTGCTACTGATCAGCCAATCTGACCAGGCCGTCTATTTCCTCCTGTAATCTATGGCTATGGTCCTCGTCATTTAGCATTCACCAATTTTTGTCTCATGGGGAACACAGTTTCTCCTGGATTCCTGATGTAATTTCCTGGTGACTGTCTGATATTGGTGGTCCTTTGGTTTTTTAACCCACACACTGGTGAGATCAGCTTCCACTGTTTATCATTTTCAACACTTTCATCATATCCCTTTATAGAATCACAGAATGTTACAGCACAGAAGGAGGCCATTTGACCCATCAAATCTGTACTGGCTGCTGAAAGAGCAACCCAGCTAGTCCCAGTCTCCAGCCCTATCTCCGTTGCCTTCTAGCTTCATCACTTTCAAAAATACATCGAGCTCTCTTTTGAAACCCCCTATGGAATCTGCCTCCATCACTCTCCCAGGCAGCACATTCCAAATCCTAACAACTCTCTGGGTAAAAAATGTTTCTCCTCATCTCATTCCTAGGTCTCTTGCTGACAGTCCTAAAATTGTGACCCTTAGCTACTGACATACCAACTCGTGGAAACAGAATAACCTTCTTTACCCTGTCAACATTGTTCATAATTTTGAACACCTCAATAAGTTCACCTCTTAATCTTCTCTGCTCCAAGGAGAATAGACCCAATCTCTCTGATCTTTCCTTGAATCTAAAATCATTCATTCCTCGCAACATTCAAGTAAATCTCCTTTGAACTCTCTCCAGGGCTTTAATATCCATCCTTAAATAAGGTGTCTGACCAATGATTTGTAGAGATGTAGCAGCACTTCCTTGTTTTTATACTCTTATGCCTCTATTTATAAACCCAAGGATCCTATGAGCCTTCTTAATAACTGTTTCAATTTGCCTGGCCACCTTCAGAGAATTGTGCATGTGAAGCCCGAGGTCCTTCTGCTCCTGTACTCCTCTCAAAGTTATAACATTGAGCATATATTGTCTCTCCATGTTTCTCATCCCAAAATGCATTACTTTGCATTTCTCTACATGTAAATTTTTCTGGCTGCACATTGGCCAACTTGTTGATATCCCTGTGAAGTCACTCAGCATCATCCTCACAATCCACTGTTCTCCCAGCTTAGTATCTTCTGAAAATTTAGAGATTTTGCCATTAACGCCCATCTCCAAATTGTTTATATACATGATAAAAAAAAGTTGGGTCCCAACATCGATCCCCAAAAAGCACCATTTTCAACTCATCTCCTCTTTTAAAAATGCCCATCTATACCTACCGTCTATTTCCTGTCCTTTAGCCAACTTCTAATCCATGTGGCCAAGGACCCATCATCCCAAACATTTCTAATTTTCTAACCAGCATGCCACGTGGCACTGCACAAAATGCTTTCTGAAAGTCCAAATATACAACATCCAGAGCATTACCCTCATCCACTGCCTGTCTCACCGTGTAAAAGAACTCATGTGAATTTGTCAGACATGACCTGCCCTTGACAAAGCCATGTTGACTGTCTAGTCATAGAGTCATACAGCACGGAAACAGATCCTTTGGCCCAACTTAACCATGCCATCCACACAAACCAATCCAACCTAGTCCCATTTGCCAGCATTTGGCCCATATCCCTCTAACACCTTCCTATTCATTTACCCATCCAGATGCCTTTTAAATGTTGCAATTGTACCAGCCTCTACCACTTCCTCTGGCAGCTCATTCCATACTTGCACCACCCTGAGAGGAGTACAGGAGCAGAAGGACCTCGGGCTTCACATGCATAATTCTCTGAAGGTGGCCAGGCAAATTGAAAAAGCTACCCATAAGTCCTTTTTAAATCTTTGCCCTCTCACCTTAAACCTATGCTCTCTAGTTCTGGACTGCCCCGCTCTGGGAAAAAGACTATTCACCCTATCCATGCCCCTCATGATTTTATAAACCTCTATAAAGGCACCGCTCAGCCTCCGATACTCCAGGGAAAATGGCCCCAGCCTATTCAGCCTCTCCTTATAGCTCAACCCTCCAACTCTGACAACATTTTCGTAAATCTTTTCTGTACCATCTCAAGCTTCACAACATCCTTCCTATGGCAGGGAGACAGAATTGCACGCCATATTCCAAAAGTGGCCTAACCAATGTCCTGCATAGCTGCAATTTGATATCCCAACTCCTGTACTCAATGCATTGACCAATAAAGGCAAGTGTACCAAATACCTTCTTCACTATCCTATCTACCTGTGACTCCACTTTCAAGGAACTATGCACTTATACCCCTAGGTCTGTCTGTTCGACAACACTCCCCAGGACCTTACCATCAAGTGTATAAGTCCTGCTCTGATCTGCCTTTCTAAAATGCAGCACCTCACATTTATCTAAATTAAACTCCATCTGCCAATTCTCGGCCAAATGGCCCATCTGATCAAGGTCCCATTGTACTCTGAGGTAACCTTCTTCGCTGCCCACTACACCTCCAATTTTTGTGTCATCTGCAAACTTATTAAACATACCTCCTCTATTCACATCCACTTTAGCCATATAAATGATGAAAAAGCAGTGGACCCAGCACCGATCCTTGTGGCACACCGCTGGTCACAGGCCTCCAAGTGTGAAAAGCAACCCTCCACCATCACCCTCTGTCTGCTACCTTCGAGCCAATTTTGTATCCAGTTGGCTAGCTCTCCTGGATCCCATGTGATCTAACCTTGTCAGATGCCTCACTGAAATCCAACTTATTTTTCACTCAGTGTATATTTAGCTTATCCCCCATTACGGCCTCCATCAGTTTCACCAATGACTGATGTCCAGCTGACAGGTCTGCAGTTTCCTGGATTGTCCATTGCCCCTTTGTTAAGCAGCAGTGTCACATTTTTCTCCCACGTCTTACCCCAACCCCTCCTCCCTGAACAATCTCTCTTTTTTGCAAAAAACGGACTAGACTGTTCAGTCTAAAAATAGTTGTAGCCTCTTTGTTACGTATCATCATTTTTGTGGACCTATTATGTCAGTCTTGTGATCACCCAGAGAATGGGGAGCCTGTGAACATCTCTGCCACAGAAAGTATTTGAAGCCAAAATATTGAATCTTTTCAAGAGGGATTTCAATATTGTTCTTGAGGGTCAAAAGGTATGGGGGAGAAAGCAGAAAGAGGGGCCTAATTTGGATGATCAGCCATGATCATTTTAATAGTGCAGCAGGCTGAAAGGGCCGAATGGCCTACTCCTGCTCCTTTTCTCTTATTTTCTATGTTACAATGCCAGATGTGTGTGCAGTTCTACAGGCCTGATATACAGACGAGAACTGGGTGAGGAGCTCAGTGTCACACTCGGTGAGTGAAATTCTGACTTGCAAACTCATGTCCAGTCACTGAACAAGCTGTGGAGAACACTGCCCTCAGCTGTTCACAACAAGCACAGCAAGAGCTGAGAGCTCAAATTTGAACTGACGATGAACTGCACACAGAACGAGAATTACCTTTCACAATACTGAGACTGTGCGCATCAGATGTTTGGCCATACATGTCCTAACTCTAGGTCTCTGATAATTCCAGAGTAAACAGAATTTAGCATTTATTTACAAATCATTTTTGTGGTTTAGAGTTTTGCCTGAAGTGATTAAAAACCTCGTAAAAACCAAAAGAACTGTGGATGCTGTAAATCAGAGGAGGCAATGGCCTAGTGGTATTACCCCTGGACTGTTAAT